GACTTATTGGTAAAATATTTGCATGCTAGAGGATAGGAAATTAATCCCACAAAAATTTAGGCAACTTCCTCCTCAGTGAAATTTCTAGGGGTCCACTGGTGTGGGGCATGTTAAGATATTCCTTCTAAAATGAAGGAAAAGTGATTGCATCTGGCTCCTCCCACAACTAAAAAGGAGGCACAACGCCTAGTGGGCCTCTTTGGATTTTGGAAGTAGCATATTCCTCATTTGGGTGTACTACTCTGGCCTATTTATCAAGTGACTCGAAAAGCTGCTAGTTGAGCAGGGCCCAGAACAAGAGAAGTATCTGCAACAGGTTCAGGCTGCTGTGCAAGCTGCTCTGCCACTTGGGCCATATGATCTGGCTGATCCAATGGTGTTTCAAGTGTCAGTGGCAGATAGAGACGCCGTTTGGAGTTTTTGGCAGGTTCCTACTGGTAACAGCGCAGATCCTTAGGATTTTGGAGCAAAGCCCTGCCATCCACTGCAGATAACTACTCTCCTTTTGAGAAATGGCTTTTGGTTTGTTACCGGGCCTTAGTAGAGACTGAACGCTTAACCATGGGACACCAAGTCACCATGCGGCCTGAGCTATCCATCATGAACTGGGTGTTGTCTGACCCATACAGTCATAAAGTTGGACGTGCACAGCAGCACTCCATCATTAAACGGAAGTGGTATACATGAGATCGGGCTGGAGAAGAACCTGAAGGCACAAGTAAGTTGCATGAGGAAGTGGCCCAAATGCCCATGGTTCTCCACTCCTGTCACATTACCTTCCATCTCCCAGTCTGCACCAATGGCTTCATGGGGAGCCCCTTATGATCAGTTGACTGAAGAGAAAACTCATGCCTGGTTTACAGATAGTTCTGCGTGATATGCAGGCACCACTCGTAAGTGGACAGTGGCAGCAGTACAGCTCCTTTAAGAGACCTCCCTGAAGAACAGTGGTGAAAGGAAATCCTCCCAATGGACAGAACTTCGAGCAGTGCACCTGGTTGTTCACTTTGCTTGGAAGGAGAAATGGCCAGGTGTGCAACTGTATACTGATTCATGGGCTGTGGTCAGGGGCTTGGAAGGAACATGATTGGAAAATTGGAGACAAGAATTTATGGGGAAGAGGTATGTGGACAGACCTCTCTAAATGGGCCAAAGAAGTGAAGATATTTGTGTCTCATGTAAATGCTCATGTCATGGATTGAATTGTGTCCCCCAAAAATATCTGTCAACTTGGCTGGGTCATGATTCGCAGTACTTTATGATTGTGTAATCTGATGTGATTTCCTTACGTGTTGCAAATTCTATCACTATGATGAGGTTATACTAATGAGGTTTACAAGATTAGATAGTGTCTTAATCCAATCTCTTTTGAGATATAAAAGAGAGAGCTGAGCAGAGACACATGGGAACTTTGTACCACCTAGAAAGCAGTGCCGGGAGCAGAAAGCGTCCTTTGGACCTGAGGTTCCTGCACAGAGAAGCTCCCAGACCAAGGGAAGACTGATGCATCACAAGTACCTTTCTCCAGAGCCGAGAGAGAGACACAGCTTTCTCCTGGAGCTGATGCCCTGAATTTGGACTTGTAGCCTACTGGACTGTGAGAGAATAAACTTCTCTTTGTAAAGCCATCCACTTGTGGTATTTCTGTTATAGCAGTACTAGATAACTAAGACAGCTCACCAGAGGGTGACCTCAGCAGAGGACGATTTTAACAATCAAGTGGATAGGATGACGTGTTCCATGGAAACCACTCATCATCTTTCCCAGCTACTCCTGTCATTGCTCAATGAGCTCATGAACAAAGTGGCCATGGTGGCAGGGATGGATGTTATGCATGGGCCCAGCAACATGGACTTTGACTCACCAAGGCCGACTTGGCTACAGCCACTGCTGAGTGCCCAATCTGCCAGCAGCAGAGATCAACAGTGAGTTTCTGATATGGCACCATCCCTTGAGGTGACCAGCCAGTAACCTGGTGGCAAGCTGATTACATTGGACCACTTCCATCACAGAAAGGGCAGCGTTTTGTTCTTACTGGAATAGACACTTACATTGGATTTGGATTTGCCCTCCCTGCATGCAATGCTTCTGCCAAAACTACCATCTGTGGACTTACAGAATGCCTTATCTACCATCATGGTATCCCATACAACACTGCTTTGGATCAAGGGGCTTACTTCACAGCAAATGAAGTGTGGCAGTGGGCCCATGTTTATAGAATTCACTGGTCTTAGCATATTCCCCATCATCCTGAAGCAGCTGGCTTGACAGAACAATGGAATGGCCTCCTAAAGACACAATTATGGCACCAGGTAGGTGGCAATATCTTGCAGGGTTGGGGCAATGTTCTCTAGGAGGCTGTATATGCTCAAACCAGTGTCCAAAATATGGTGTTTTCCAGTCAGGATTCATGGGTCTAGCAATCAAGAAGTAGAAATGGGAGTGGCACCACTCACTATTAGCCCTAGTGACCCACTCACAAGATTTTTTGCTTCCAGACCCCAAGACCTTATGCTTTACAGGTCCGGAGGTCTTAGTTCCAAAGGGAGGAATGTTCCCACCTGGAGACACATCACTGATTCCACTGAAATGGAAGCTAAGAATGCCACCTGGACACTTTGGGCTTCTTATGCCTCTGGATCAACAGGCAAAGAAGGGAGTTACCATACTGGCTGGTGTGACTGATCCTGATTACCAAGAGGAAATCAGATTGGTATTACATAATGGAGGTAAAGAAGAGTATGTCTGGAATGCAGAAGATCCCTTAGGACGTCTCTTAGTACTACCATGCCCTGTGATTAAAGTCAATGGAAAACTACAGCAACCCAATTCCAACATGACTGTTAATGGCCCAGACCCTTCAGGAATGAAGGTTTGGGTCACCCCATCAGGCAAAGAACCATGACCAGCTGAGGTGCTTGCTGAGGGCAAAGGGAATACAGAATGGTTGGTGGAAGAAGGTAGTTGTAAATACCAATTATGGCCATGTGACCAGTTGCAGAAACGAGGACTGTAATTGTTATGAGTATTTCTGTTTTGTATGTGTGCATCAAATATTTTTGTTTTCTTCACTTACAAAATATAAGATGTAAATGAGGTTAGTGTGTTTTTGGTTACATACGTGTTAGTTGTATCATGTTAGGCACAAATACGACTTTGTAATTGTCTTTATTCAGAGATTATGTATGGTTTGGGGAATGTGTACAGGTGCCAAGTTGACAAGGGGTGGACTGTGATGGTTAGGTTGTGTGTCAACTTGGCTGGGCCATGATACTCAGTGTTTTGGCAGTTGTGTAACGTTGTGATCACTTCCCTGTTGAAATCTGATACGTGATGACCCCCATGATGGAATCTGCTGAATGGTACTGGTGGGAGCCAGGCCTCCTCCGCCTACTTCCTTCCTGCTTACCTTGCTGGGACTTTTGCTTGTTCTAGATTCTGCAGCTGGCTCCTGTTTGTCTGACCTCCAGTTCTTGGGACTTAAGCTAGCAGCCTGCCTGCCAATCTTGAGATTCGTCAATCTTCACAGACTGCTACAGCCTGCTGTCTTTACTGCTGATCTTGGGTTTGCCAGCCCCTGTGGCTACGTGAATCAGCAGAAATTTGTAAAAGCCCTGCTTTCTGGCCTGCCCATCCTGGGTTCACCAGCTCCTGCAGCTACGTCAATCAGGAGAATCCTCTTTCCTGTCCCCACGGACTTGGGATGTGACCCAGCCTCTAAAAACCACTTAGAGCCATTTCTTTGATATAAATCTCTCTCTATATATATACATATACATACGCTTTACTGGTTTTGCTTCTCCAGAAATAACCATTCCCTGGTTATTCAAACACTAATCCAAGTACTGTTGTAAAGGGATTTCTTAGATGTAAAGCCCCAAGTGAGCTGACCTAATATGTGGATAACCCAATCACATGAAAAAACATTTTTTTTTTAAAGCAGTGTTTTCTACATTGGCAGCAGATGAGGAAATCAGACAGGTTCTAAGCATAAGGGGGATTTGACTCACTGTTGCTGGCTTGAAGATGCACAGTGCCACATGAAGGCATGTGGGCTGCCTCAAGAAGCTGAGAGAGTCCCCTGGCTGACAGCCAGAAAGGAAATAGGGAACTTAGTCCTAATTGTAAGAAAACAAAAGAGCTTGGCAACAGATTCTTCCCTAGAGCCTTCAGATAAAAAGTTCAGACACACACCTTGATTTTGGCCTTGTGAGACCAACTCTAAGCAAAAAACACAGCTGAGCAATGCCAGGTATCTGACCTACAGAACTGTGAGCTAATACTTTAAGCTGCAACATTTACAGTAATTTGTTATACAGCCATAGAAAAACAAGTTTATGAATAAAATACGGGAACATAGTGTTGTATACATAAGACGAAATACTATTATATGGCAATTAAAACAAACGAACTAGATTTACTGTATTAACATGGGCAGAGTTAAAAAGTTTTGGATAAATGTGGAACAGAATTTCAAATTCTCATGGAATCCAGACTTTCTGGACCATTGAGGCTATATGAAGAGCCCTGGTGGTGTAGTGGTTAAGCGCTCAGCTGCTTACCAAAAGGTTGGCTGTCTGAACCCACCAGCCGCTCCACGGGGGAAAGATGTAGCAGTCTGCTTCTGTAAAGATTACAGCCTTGGAAATCCTATGGGGCAGTTCTACTCTGTCCTATAGGGTTGCTATGAGTTGGATTTGATTTGATGGAAATGAGTTGGGAGGCTGGATGAACCCCTGAAACTACAGCCCTGAGATAATCATTAAACCTTAAACCAAAAATATCCCCTGAAGTCTTCTTCAAACCAAACAGTACCTTTGTTTCTTAAGAACGTCTGTTGTGAGCGTTGTGCTCTTTTAAAGAACTATCTATATGGGATCAAACTGACAATGGCAACTGGAAAGGTTAGATAGGAAGCTTATGGAGTAGTGAGTTTATGTTAATGGGGAATAATTCAGAAAAGGAGGTGAGAATGATTGCACAACTTGAAGAATGTAATCAATGTTACTGAATTGTACATGTAGTAATTGTTGAATTGGTATTTATGTGCTGCTGTGTATATTTTCAACAACAAAAATTAAAAAGTTTTGAATAAAAAGTTGCAATATGAGATGAACAGTATAATGCCATTTATGAAAAATCTGGAGACCCCAAACAATGCTGTATGCTGTTATGCATACTACATGCATTCTTATAAAACAGCAGTATAAGAACATGGAAGGATGAATACTAACTTCATGAGAGTTGTTCCCTCTTGGGGACAGTGAAAAGGGAGAAATGGGAATGGAATGAACTATGAAAGGGACCTCAATTATATCTCTAATATTTCCTTTTTTTCTTTTTCATATATATTAACATTTCTTAACTCTGGGTAGTAGGTAATTTGCTGTAGTACTACTAACATTTTTAATATACTTTTAAATACAACCTCTGTTTCTATAAATTTGTGACACTGTATGAGGTAGTTTTTCAAAATAACTGAGTTACTTTTATTAGGGTTTCCCTAATGCATTTTCAATTCTATATTTCAAAGAACTGAACTTATTTCACTTGTATACGCTAATCAGAAAAACCAGAATTTATTTTAAAATACATTTAATAAAAATAACCCATAGTTTCATATATTTTGCATGTACAGAATATTTACAAAGTCAGTTCTACAGCATTTACTTAACATTTACTATTTTTCCATTATTTGTTTTTCTCCTTATTTCCTTCAGCAGTGAACTACTGTCTAGTGTTCCCTGTAATTAAAAAATTAGTTTCTTGGGTAATCCTCCTAGGAAGTAAAAAAAAAAGATGTTCACTTTTAATCTTATAGCAATTTTAACCCAGTCACCCTGTCACGCTTATTGTACCTGTTACTTTTCCAACAGCACTTGTTAAGCATTAAGCATACAATGTACCAGTAGGAATTTATGAAGGGAACAGGATACACACTGATAGTTATCATGACCCTAAGGTATATTCAAAAGTGCCCATGTCCTTTTAAAGAGCATGATATATAATAAAGTATTCTCACTGGAAGCAAGTACAGTTAAAATAGTATGTTGTATCTACTTTATACAACTTAAAATTATAAAGAATGAATAGCTCACTATCTAATTTTCTTAGCTGCCCTTCAGTTATAAGTTATATGTTAGCTCTGGAGTTTCTGAATTCACTTCATTTCTCATAACACAGGAGTTTTACCTTGTTCCAAGGCCTCTGTTCTTTTCCGCTTTGTTGCCACAGCTGGGTTTGGTTGCTCTTTTAAAGTTTCCACTGGACAGTTTGGTCTTGGTAGCTGACACCCAGGTGTAGGGGCTGGCCGATTACTAAAATACTTAGTTTTCAATGCCTTTTAAAACAAAAGGTATCAAGTAAGGTAAAGTTTTAAATGAGTACTTAAACTGTGTGTAGTGAACTGTGTATAAGAAAATCTGACCTCCAACACTGCTGGTAGCATTAAAAATACTATGCAAATATTCTAACCCCAAAACAAAATTAATTTTCAAATATTGGGTATGCAGGTTGCTACAAATAAACATCTAACATACTAAAACTGGCTGATAATGCCATTACTACAAGAAAAAGAGATGCCCTTCTAAACAGCCTATACTAATTATGAACTATCCTTAGTAAAATGTTATGTATTTCAGTCCTATGCATCATGAGCTATACAGTTCAAAATCCACAGAGAGAAATTTGCTTAAAAATAACTTACTAGTTTATCACAACAAATTGCAAAGCATGTAAACGTGAATTCTTAAATACAAGGCTTTAAAAAAGATGCAATAGATTGGAACCAATGGATTACAATTCAACAATCCACTGCAAACTGACAAATTTTATTTCAAAGTGCCTTCCCATTTCTATTAATTACCAATTCAATGTTATATAATCTATAATATGGTATTTTCTTTACTTGGGCCAAAATTCCAATAAAAATATTTTTAGCCTGAATGACAAGTTTGTCAATTTCATACTTGTCTATTTACATCAGCACTATAATACTGTCTAATAGCCACAATAATTTAAGATATTTTAGGAAAATTCTCTTAGAAGAAAAAGAAGTCTATATAACTTTCCAAGCAATCCCCTACCCCAACATTATATTCTTTGTGGTAATGATCTAGAGATTCCTTACTTCAAAAGAACTGCATTTCTAAAGTCTTACTTCCAAATCATAGCAGTTCTATAGGTAAATTAAGCTAATTCTGGGCTACACAGAGATCTAAAAAGAAGAGTATATCATTCCAACTTTCAGATCGATATCCATGAGCTAAAACTATTTTAAAAAATTCAATCTACCAAAATATGGCCCAATCTATTGAAATACAATCCAAGTGGGTTAGTATTATACAATAGCTAGTACTTTCTATGTTTTGAGTTACACTATTAATAGGAAAAACTGTCTAGATAATGTGACAGGTCTTAAGCTTCCAATGACAGAATAATATGTTTAGAAATGGCTGAAAAGTAACAGTAAGCTACCTGTTTGAATCTGGAAGAAAAATTCTAATGGTAAAATATCCAGAATGTGTGTACTTAAATAGTATGTGCTGCTAAAAAAAGGTTTAGCAACCCAAATGGGTAAACGCATTAAATAATGATTTGGCAGTTTGTAACAAAATGGGGGGGGAATTCATTTTATATCAATATATTGTGCATTTGTAAGTTTTCTAAGATATGAAGATTCATGACATTTCATTTTAATTAGTATCTCCCTTCATGAAGTCAAAATCATTGTACTATTTTTGTACTGACCTGCCCCAATTGTAAAGGTTTGTTGAGTCAACACTTTCTTGTGCGTTTGTTTTTAAGACAAAGAAAATGCTTTTTCAAACCTACAGGTCTTATATTTTTGTGTTGGATAACACTTCTCCCTCTTTTATATGCGTGAGGTATTCTCGGTCTTCCAATTTTTTCTTAAGTTTGATTCTTATTTCCCTAAACAATCGTCAGTTTCAGATTTCTTTTTATTTAGAATACTTTTCATTAAGGAAGATGAAAACATTTGAAAATGGGTAGCGGTTAATGGTTGTACACAGCATAAGTAATTAATGTCACTAAATTATAAATGCAAAAAATGCTGAAACAGCAAAAGTTTTGTGTATATATTTTAACCACAATTAAAAAAAATAACAGAATATCTTTCAATCTCTTGTAAGCACACAACTCTATCTGACTATATCATTTCCTCCCCATTACCACTTTCTGACTGGGACAATGACAAGCAATGCATATCTGGATTTCATTTTAGGAGGAAAAGAAAAGAAACTTTCATTAGGCTTGCCACAGGATTTAAATTAATACATAAGAGTTCAACTAAAACATACTAGTTTCTTAAAGAATATGAAAGCCTTGGTTTTTCCCCTTGAGGTACACTATTTAAAAGCTCATTAATTACGAAATAGATTAGTACTTATATATTCCTAAGCAAGTGTCAACTCTCCTGTAGCTGTGTGTACATGATGTAATTTAATTCCAGTCTGAATAGTGGCTTGTAGCTTGGGGGAAAAGAAAAAGTTATTTCCCAAAACAAAACAAAAACCCATCTTTCAAGTATTTGAAGAATCCTAGAAAACTTTATGAAATTTCTATTTTACCAATGCTCTAAGATTATCCTCATATTTTCTAATATAAGGAAGATATACTAGAATACCTGTGTGGCTGTAATTCGAGTACACGGATTAAATAAGAACAAGCCTTGTATGAGGTCTAGCAAGTCATCTCCTGCCGCAATGAAGATGTGTTGCAATGGGATTCCAGGGAAACTCTTAAATGTCACATAATCTGGAAGACTACACATGTCCTGTAAAAATATTTTTTATAATTCAAACTTAAATAAGGGATTAAAAATGCCATTTCTATAATACTACAGACATCAGTGATAGAAAGGAAGGAAAACTATGCATAAAAAACCTTTAAGGAGAACACATTTGTATTTAGTTCTTCATTGGGAGACATATGTTAATTATATCTGTTTTTAATTTTGTTTATTATAATTTATCATTCTCAATACAAACCAAAACAAAACCTGTTGCCATCAAGTCAATTCCAACTCACAGCGATTCTACAGGACAGAGAACTGCCTTGTAGGGTTTCCAAAGAGCGGCTGATGGATTCAAACTGCCAACCTTTTTGGTTAGCAGCCGAGCTCTTAACCACTGTGCCATCAAGGTGCCATTATTTTCAATAGGTAATACTAATACATGATATTTTAATAATGCAAAATTCAAAAATACAAATATGAGCATACAGTGAAACTCTCCTCCCTTTTGTTCTCCAGATAGCCCAGATTCCCCTCCAGAGGTGATGTTTCCAGTTTTTTATGTATTATTTAGGAGACATTCTTTGCATATACAATTATATGCACATATTTTTAATGCAAGTGATAGCATGCTATACACATATACTGTTCACTTAACACTCTCTCTTACATTAGCCCATACTAGTACATAAAAAACTAATTCATTCTTTTTTACAGTTGCATGGTATTCCATCAGGGATGCAAGGATGATTCAATATTCAAACATCAATGTGATCTACCACATTAATAGGCTAAATAAGAAAAACACATGATCATATTGATGCAGAAAAAGCATTTGAGAAAATTAAACATCCATCCATTCATCATAAAAAGTCCTAGAAAACTAAAAACAGAACGGAACTTCTTCAAATTGTAAAAAGCATGTACAAAAAACTCAACAGCTAACATTACATTTAAAGGTGAAAGACTGACTGCTTTTCTCCTAAAATGAAGAATAAGGCATGGATGCCTGCTCTCTTATTCAAGACAGTGGTGGAAGTTCTAGCCAATTCAGTAAGGCAAGAAAAGGAAATAAAAGGCATACAGATTGGAAATGAAGAAATAAAACTCTCCCTGTCTGCAGATGACAGTATGATCTATGCAGAAAATCCCAAAAAATCTATTAAAAAACTCCTAAAACTAGTAAACAGAGTTAGGTTGCAAGAATTAAGCATACAAAAAGCAATTTTATTTCTATATACTAGCAATGAGTAGATGGACATCAAACTTAAAAATACAATACCACTTACAAACACTCAAAAACAAAAAATGAAAACAGGTGAAAATCTAACAAAACATGTGCATGACTCATATGGTGAAAGCTACACAATGATGATGAAAGAAACCAAAGATCTAAAGAAATGGTGAGACATGTCATGTTCACGAATTGGAGTTTTAACATAGTAAATATGTCAATTCTCCTCAAATTAATATACAGGTTTAATGTAATTTGTATCAAAATCCTGGCAAGATTTTTTTTTAAGATACAGATTATTTTCAAGTTTATGTGGAGAGGCAAAGGAACTAGAATAGCTAAAACAATCTTGAAAAAAATCATAAAGTGTAAGGAATCATTTGCCCTGATTTCAAGACTTAATAAACAGCAACTTTAATTAAGGCAGTGTGGTACTGGCAGAGGGACAGATATATACACTGCCGAAATAGAATGCAGAACCCAGGAACAGATCCACACAAGTATACCTAACTGATTTTTGACAAAGGTGCAAAACCAACTCAGTAGAGTCTTTTCAACAAACAGTGCTGGAGCAACTGGACCCACACAAGCAAAAAAAAAAAAAAAAAAACTATGACCTATCTCACACCTTATACAAAAATTAACTCAAAATGAATCACGGACTTAAATGTGAAACATAAAACTTTTAGAGGGTAACAGGAGAAAATCATCAGGAAAATCTGTGGGCTGAACAGAGTTCTTCGACCTGACAACAAAAGCACAATTAATAAAAGGAAGAATTGATCAAATACACTTAATTAAAAACTTTTGCTCTGGAAAGACCATGTTAAGAGAATGAAAAGACAGGCTACAGCGTGAGGGAAAATATGCAAACCACATATACAACCAAGGACTAGTACCTTGAGTACATGAAGAACTTTGAATACTCAACAGCAAAAAAAAAAAAAAAAAAATCCACTTAGAAAATGGGCAAAAGACATGAGACATTTTAAAGAGGACATACAGGTGGCAAAAAAAAGCACATGAAAAGATAATTCAAAACCATAAGCCATCAAGGAAATTAAAACCACAATGAAGTATCACTGCACATCCATCAGAATGGCTAAAATAAATACTGAAAACACTAGACTAGGAAGTGAGAAACTGGAGCCTTCCTATTGCTGGTGGAAGTGTAAAATGGCAAAGCTATTCCGGGCAACAGAATTTTCTTAAAAAGCTAAACATGTAACTACCACATGACCAAGAAATAGCACCCCTGGGCATTTATCCAGGAGAAATGAGCACTTATGTGCACATAAAAACTGTACATGAATGTTCACAGTGGCTTTGTTTGTAATAGCCAACATTTGGAAACAACCCAGATGTCCTTCAATGGGTAAATGGTTAAACGAACCGTGGTACACCCACACTCTGCAATAAAAAGAAATGAACTATTAAGACATACAAAACCCTGGATGAATCTTCAGAGAATTATGCTGAGTGAAAAAAGTCAATCCCAACAGGCTACATATTGTATGATTCCATTTATTTAATATTCTTAAAATGACAGTTATAGAAATGGAGAACACATTAGTGGTTGCCAGGGCTTAAGGATGGGGTTAAGGGCTGGAGAAAAGTTGGTATGGCTATAAAAGGGCAACATAAAGGATTCTTGTGGTAATGGAAATGTCCTGCATCTTGACTGTATTAATGTCAATATCATGATAGTGATATTGTACTAGTTTTGCAAGATGCTACCATTAGGGGAAGCTAGGTAAAAGGTACACAGAAGGTTGTTGTCGTTAGGTTAGGTTTCAACTCATAGAGACCCTATGTACAAGAGAACAAAACACTGCCTGATCCTGCGCCATCCTCCCAACTGTTGCTATGTTTGACCCAGTGTTGCAGTCACTGTGTCAATCTATCTAGTTAAGGGTCTTCCTCTTTTTTGTTGGGTTTATGATGTTCTTCTCCAGGGACTGGTCTCTCCTAATAACATGTCCAAAGTATGTAAGAAGTCTCACTATCCTCCCTTTTAAGGAGCATTCTGGCTGCACTTCGTCCAAGACAAGATTAGTTCATTCTTCTTACAGTCCATGGTAGATTCAATATTCTTTGCCAACACCGTAATCCAAAGGCACCAATTCTTCTTCAGTCTTCCTTATTCATTGTCCAGCTTTCGCATGCATATGAGGCAACTGAAAATACCATGGCTTGGGTCAGGCGGACCTTGGTTCTTAAAATGACATCTTCGTTTTTTAACACTTCAACGAGGTCTTTTGCGGCAGATTTGCCCAATGCAATACGTCATTTGACTTCCTGACTGCTGCTTCCATGGGTGTTGATTGTGGATCCAAGCAAAATGAAATCCTTGACAACTTCAATATGTTTTCGTTTATTGTGATGTCACCTATTGGTCCAGTTGTAAGGATTTTTGTTTCCTTACGTTCAGGTGTAATCCATACTGAAGGCTGTATGTAGTCTTTGATCATAAGTGCGTCAAGTCCTCTTCACTTTCAGCAAGCAACGTTGTGTCATCTGCATACCACAGGTTTTTAACGAGTCTTCCTCCAATCCTGATGCCACATTATTCTTCATATAGTTCAGCTTCTTGGATTATTTGCTCAACATACAGACTGAGTAAGTATGGTAAAAGGATATACCTGACACACACCTTTCCTGATTTTAAACCACACAGTATCCCCCTGTTCTGCTGGAAGGATTGCTTCTTGGTCTATGTACAGGTTCCACAAGAGCACAATTAAGTGTTCCAGAATTCCCATTCTTCTCAATGGTATCCGTAATTTGTTACGATCTACACAGTCAAATGCCTTTGCATAGTCATTAAAACACAGGCAAATATCTTTCTGGTCCTCTCTGCTTTCAGCCAAGATCCACCTGACATCAACAATGATATCCTTCCTTCCACGTCCTCTTCTGAATCCAGCTTGAATTTCCAGCAGTTTCCTGTCGATGTACTGCTGCAACCGTTTTTGAATTATCTTCAGTAAAATTTTACTTGCGTGTGATATTAATGATATTGTTTGATAATTTCCGCATCCTGCTGGATCAGCTGTCTTTGCGATGGGCACAAATACGGATCTCTTCCAGTCAGTTGGCCAGGCAGCTGTCTTCCAAATTTCTTGGCATAGACTAGTGAGCGCTTCCAGCATTACAACTGTTTGTTGGAACATATTAGCTAGTATTCCATCAATTCCTGGAGCCTTGTTTTTCATCAATGCCCTTAGCACAGCTTGGACTTTTTTCTTCAATACAATCAGTTCTTGATCATACGTCACCCTCTGAAATGGCCGAAAGTCTACCAGTTCTTTTTGGCCCAGTGACTCTGTGTATTCATTCCATCTTCTTTTGATGCTTCCTGCATTGTTCAGTATTTGGCCTATAGAATCCTTCAGTATTGCAACTCGAGAGACTTGAATTTTTTCTTCAGTTCTTTCAGGTTGAGAATTGCCAAATGTAAGAAACAGTATCTCTGTATTATTTCTTACACTGCATGTGCACCTACAGTTAACTCAAAATAAAAAATTTAATTTAAAAATCTAAAGAATTAATCAGTAAACATCTATTATCGAGAAAATCACATCAAAGGGACAATACAGAATAAAGATTATGAACATGGGCTCAGGAGTCAGACATACTCAGATTACAGTCCTACTTCTGACACTTGCTGTGTGGCCTTGAGTAACTTACTTAACTTTGCTAAGCCTCAGTTGTCTCATCTGTAAAATGGGGATAATTACGGTACCTACAGAGGATTAAGTAAAAGATTACGTATGAAAAGCCTACCATGAATGGCATATAGTAAGTGCTCAACAAATAACAGCTATTATCCAGATGTTAAACAGCCTGATTAAAATTTCTCCTTTTCGGTATGTATGTATACATGCAGAGCCCTCGTGGCACAGTGGTTAAGAGCTCAGCTGCTAACCAACAGGTCAGCAGTCTGAATCTACCAGTCAACTGCTCCTTGGAAACCCTACGGGGCAGTTCTACTCTGTACTACAGGGTTACTCTGAGTTGGAATCAACTTGCTGGCAATGGGTTTAGCTCTTCTTGATATGTATATATGCATTCATGTATGTATGTATGCATTCATTCACTCCCCAGGAGAAGAGGGTCTAACAGGAAGGAAAATCAAGAGGTCTACAATTTCAAGAATGAATAGGTGAGAATGTTTTAGTGAATTATAATACATAAACTTTAGTAATCTTACATGTTGACAATTTTACAGATTTCATATTTCTTTTCTGAAAACAATGTAATGAATTAAAATAATCATAATACTGAAAACATCTTAATTGTGTTAGTGAAAATACTGTAAATATACCTAAATCCACCAAGAAGAGACTGGTTAAATAAAATAAAATACACACAAAATGGAGTATTATGCAACTGTTAAGGAGAAGTTCAGTGATACGTCACAGTTATATATCACGTGGAAAAAAAAGAGAGAGAGAAAATAGTGTGATCCCCTTTTTGTAGAAGAATGTAAGAAAGAAAATGCAACCATATATGTATATACGTTTTTGTATGTACACTTATAGATAAATCAGCAAGGCTTTATGCCAAACTGTAAATAATGGTTACCACTGGGATGGTTATTACTGGGCTATATGCATACACACAAGGTTGGATGGTATGTAATAAATTTAACTTTTTACCTTGTATACTTTTGTAGTATTTCAAAATCTGCAATGAGTGTGTAATACTGGTAAATTAAGACAACTAATAAAGAAATTTCCTTAAGTAACATTCAACTGACAGCACTAATAAAGTATATGATAACTAACTAACATTTGGATCCTAACCAAATCTCAAAGAAACTGCATGAAGACTTACAGGCCACTGTTCCTCTGTTGGTGTGCCCAAAGTTTCAAATATTCTTGTTAGTTGATCAAGGTCTGAATCTCCTGGCAAAAAAGGAACCTGAAAGAAAGCGACAGGCACACATTTCAAGGCAGTTTGTGATAATTTTTATACAAATAATACTGTATATCTAGTAAGAAAAACTAAAATCTGTAACAAATATTAAAAATTTAGTCTGAGGAGTAACAGATGTGGCATAAGATCGTCCCATTGCTAACCAAGTAAATAGCACTTAACTCCGCATTTTATTCACTCCACAAACTTTTTTATTGTGGTCAAAATACACGTAACAGTTGCCAATCCAACAATTTCTACATATATAATTCAGTGAAACTGATAACATTCTTCAAGTTGTGCAACCATTATCACTATCTTTTCCAAATTATTCCACCACAATTAACATAAACTCAATGCTTTCTAAGCAAAAACTCTCTCCTATCCCTGGTGCTACTGTAAATGGTAATGTTTCCTTAATTTCCTTTTCCACTTGCTCACTATTGATGTTGACTGATTTTTGTGTGTTGGCCTTGTATCCTGACACCATGCTAAATTCATTTATTAGTTCTAATAGTTTTCTTGTGTATTCTTTGGGGTTTTCTATGTACAGGATGATGTCATCCTCAAAGAGGGATAGTTTTACTTCCTCCTTCGTGATTTGGTTTTTTTTTTTTAAAAGCCTAATTGCTCTGGCTAGGAATTCCACAACCATGTTGGCTAACAGTGGTGAGAGTGGGCATCCCTGTCTTGTTCCTGACCTTAATGAGAAAGCTCTCAGTCCTCCGCCACTGAGTATGATGTTAGCTGTGGGATTTTTCATAAATGCCCTTTACTGAGTTATTTCCTTCTATTCCTAGCTTGCTGAGTGTTCTTATCATGAAATGATGTGGAATTTTGTCAAATACCTTTTCTGCACTGATTGAAATGATCATGTGGTTCTTTTCCTTTGTTTTAGTTCATTCTTTTTTTAATTACCCATTATATGAATATACCATAACTTGTTTCTATATGCTACTGTTTACAGATATTTGGGTTGTTTCCAGTTTGGGTTTATTATGAACAACCACAAAATAGATGCAATTATCTGCTTTATTTGAAAATATGTCTTTGCTGCATTATTGATCAATGCAATGTTGACTAAGGAGCCTCCGGTCGTGTTTGATCAGGCACCGGGTCCAGTGTGTAACTCAAGAGAGAGTATTTTTCCCCGCTAGGGATGAATAATTATTTCTAATTTTCATTCAGTAATTTGAATGGTTAAGTTGAACAGTATGTATAGTATCTATAAGCTCAAATGGCAGCTCTTCTACAACCCCATTCTTAATCAGCTAATAGGTTTACTAAACTCCATTTCAGTCAAATATGGAATATGGGCTAGTGGACCATTCAGATTTAGTTAATACAAGGGTACACTATTCAAGTTAACATCCACAACATGCTGCTGCAAACACAGACTTCATAAAAAAAATAGCTTGTGCTTATTGTTTTTTTTCTCCCTTTGTTGTATAATCTCCTAGAAGTATAAAGGAGAACAGAATTTCACCAATACACAACTGTGACTAAGCATATGATTGAAAACTTTTTATTTTTAGGAGAAAGAATCCAATTAATCCTAAAGAGAAGAAAGGTAGCGGGAAGAGAGTTCTTACACCATTATAAGAACAAATACTTACAACAATACTGAAGTGTGTACATTAGTTCAGGACTTACCCTTAGAAGTAACTCTGCTAATATACAGCCAACAGCCCACATGTCCACACCCACACCATACATCCTAGCTCCAAATAGTAACTCAGGGGCCCGATACCACCTGAAAAAGAACAACAAACATTTTGTCATTTTAGAATAGAATTATTTAAGAATTTCTTAAACTACTTTATAAAAAATATCATTCCACTGACGAAATCCACTTTTATGGATATATACTTAAGAAAGTTAATACTAATCTTGAGTTAATATATACTAAAGAAAAGTGGGCTACTAAATGAAGTAGGTCCTTATTGCTGGCAGGAAAACATATACAGTTTTAGTTCATTCACTCTTCCACTCTCCTAAATAATTAATACATTCTTCTCTTCCCTGATACCCCCAACTCTTCTTCACTCATCCTTCCTCTCAGCTGAACATCTTTTAAGTTGCCTGCTTCCTACTTTACTGAGAAAACGCAAGTAATGAGGAAAGAATTTTATCAGATTCCTACCATGACATGTACTCACCTACACATCATTTGCACTCACACAATATGCTTTCCAAACAGTAACTATGTATGTACTAGCTGTGCTTTTATTTAAAGCCAAACCCTCACAAGTTGTGCACTAGATACCATGCCCTCTTGCCTATTTTCAAGGATAATGCTCCTGACATTCTCTCCTCTTTCCCTACATCATAAGCTTTTTGTTCTCTACTAGACTTTTCCCATCAACATACAAACATATCATTATTTCTCCAGCCTTAAAGAATAACAAACATAAAAACTTCTCTGGATTCTACCTCCCCTAACAGCTAACTCCTCATTCTCTGCTTAGTCCCCCATGCAGTTAAATGCTTCCGAAGAGTTGTCTATTCTTACTATCTCCAATTCCTCTTCTCCTGTCCTTTCTTAAACCCTTTTCAATCAAGTTTTCACCCCCAGCACCAAAACAGCTCTTCTTGTCAAGATTTTCAATGTCCACCTTTCTAAATCCAATTTTCAATTCTCAGTCCTCATCTTAACTTGACCTATTAGAAGCATTTAATTTGCAGAAAGAGAAAACACAAGACACTGGCAAATGAGAAAGCATTAGTATACAATGCTCTTGCACGTATGTAGGTGGTCTCTGTTTCCAAGAGTTCCTGAATGATGGCCTTAATCTTTCCAACAATTACGTGAACTACTCCTTACATCCCCAACTTCTTACACAGGGCTCAGGTGTGACACCCAATGAAATCTATTTGGAAGAAGGTGACAAAATAATCTAAAAGAACACAGAATCTACAGGTCTTCTTAGACCCATAAAAGAGTCTTTGAAATTAACACATCTTTACAAGAATTACAAAATCTATTGTCCCTATGTATCTAATGTGATTGAGTTTTCATACATGAAAAATATAAACAGAAAATATAATTGATATGAAAAATTCAAATATCAAAGCATTGTTTTCTTCAACTTACTAGAATTTATAGATATGAAAATGGCAGTAAAAAAAAAAAAAAAGACATATAATGGATCTGGAGGGCAAACAAGATATCAAATAGTCTTACCATATCCTACCATGCCAAAGTTTATAAACAATTTCCATTCATACTGAAGGATATAAAATATAAGATTAGAACTGACTAATATAATAAACACAGGCCCAACAAATCAGATGATTAGGTAGAAGAACAGCCACTGAAGTTCCAGCCTACCTAACTAAAATGTAAAACTGTGAATTACTCCCAAAGTTACCAGGTAAATATCTGAGGATTGAGTTAATTCAACTCTGTTTGAAAGGGATATATCTTCTTGAACTCTTTATTTCAGAGATACTTCAGAGAAGTCAAATGATGCTCACTGGTGATTAATATCCTTTACAATATAAGCTTTCAATTATTTAAGGGATTCTTACCTGGTTACAACCTGATGTGTATAAGCTCTATTGGGGCTCCCAAATGACTTGGCCAGGCCAAAATCTGCCAGTTTTAGAACTCCATTTTCATCTAGCAGTAAGTTGTTTGGTTTCAGATCCTGTATAAGCAAGCAGGGTGGGAGAGAATCCCACAGTAACACATTTAAACATAACAAAAAAAGGGTAATATCCAAAATTTAAAAATAATCAATGTACTTTTCTATTGCTAAATAATTCCATCAAAGCTAACTAAAATTGGTATTATTACAAACTAAGACCTTGGGTCCAGGTACTCATTTTGGTGAGCCTCAGTTTACCTACCTCACATGAATTGTTGTGAGGATTAATTTAATACAGTCTGTAAAAAGCTTACTGTAACGACTGGCTCAGTAGGTGCTGAATAAAATGGCAGCTACTATTACTTCAATAACAATAATAAATATTAACTTCAGCAAATAAAAATGTTTTGCATTTAGAAAAGATAAGAAACATTCTTCAAAATCTGTGCTGAAAAGATATTAGCAATAACCTAAAAGATATCCCAAATTTAAGATTTGAGAATTTCTAACTATAGATTGTTCTTAGGTATTTAAAAAGGGTCCCTAAGAACATCTGCCTAACTAAATTATCAGCCCTGTTCTCATAGCTGAATGTTCCTAAAAATGATTCAATCATTTCATAAATTTTACTTCATAACTTCATAGAATTTTATACCTACAATAAATATTATTTCTCTAAAAGTGTTTTAGCATTGTATAATTTAATCTAGACTCTCATGTATTTTTTCCCATAACAAATGTATCACAAAAAGAGTACTGGACTTAAACTCTAAAGACCTTGTTAGTTATCAGCTATCTGGCCTTGAAAAGAAAAAAAAAATAACCTTAGTCAGGTCACTTAGAAACTTAGTTCTTTATTAAAAAAAAAAAAATAAAAAATCAAGGATTGGACAGCCAATCCTTCTAGCTCTAAATTTTACATAATAATTTAGAGTTCTCACCGCACCAGCTAGTGAAACAACTGATGGAAACACAGAGGAAGGTGGGATAAAATGGTATAGGGTCGCTATGAGCTGGAATCGACTCAACGGCAACAGGCTGGGTTTGGTTTTTTTATATCTTTATTGTGTTTAACAATTTACATACTCAGACCACATGTACTAAACTGGCTATATAAAACTTGACTACAACATAAAGAAGCAATCATACTTGGTATATTTAAAACCTTACCCTATGTAGAATCCAATGCTGATGTAAATATTCTAATCCTTGAAGAGTCATCAACATGTATGCTTTGATGTGTGACGGTGTCAGCACAAGACTATTATCCTTTATTATAACCTATAAAGCAGGCATACAATATGAGTATACTTTATTATTCCAAATAAACTCTATCCGTCTTCTTTGATATTTTTGTTCAAATCTTTTCCTCATTTTTAAAAGCTGGGTTTTTTGTTATTGTACTATTGAATTATGAGGGTTCTTTATATATTCTCGTACAAGTTCTTCACCAGATGTGTTTTGGAAATGTTTTCTCCCAGTCTGAGGCTTGTCTTTTCATTTTCTGAAAAATTTCTTCCAAAGGGTCCTTTTCCCCCACCCTTTTCATAAAGCCAATTTGTGTTTCCAGTCATTTACTACTGAAAAAATCCTGAATTCTTTCAGAAGAATGCACAAGGTACTTAATTATTTTCAAATTCAATTTTAATGGATTTGTATTTCTCAAAAAGAAGCTTGGCTTTCAAAAGGATGACATTATTCTGTGATAATATGGGGGAAAGAAAGCTCTAAACTCTCATAGGACTAACACTCATTTCTCTAAAAATAATGACAGTAGGGGGACTCAGGAGACAGAAATGCTAAGGAAATCCAAATTTGGTATTTAATACCGGGAATATGGCTAAATAAGTAAAAGTGAAGTATTCAAAAGAGCCTCTTGACCTCTGGAGTACATCCAGATTTCAACAAAATTAAGCATTCCTTTGACTACCAGTATCTTCATAAGCAGAAAATAAACATTTAGGTTCTCTTTTGATAAACTGGAATAAAAAATTCTTCTAGGAATCTTAATCTTACCTCTAGATCAGTTTCCATAAAATCAAATACAAGACTAATGTTAGATTTATGTCCAAAAGCATCAAGAAGCTGCAGAACAAAATTAAAAAATAAATAAAAATACACTTCTCTGTTATATACTTGCCAATATTATACCAACTGAGATAACTTTTAAAAATCTAAATACACATTTAGAATGCTGATAATTCCTTGTAAAGCTTAAGTCATTCTGTTAAGTTTGCTATGTCTTTTTTTTCCTAGAAATTAATACTTTAAGACACAAAAATATTAAACTTTACTTCTTTTAAAAACCATTAACTCCAACAATTTTTGGAGTTACAGTTAAGAGATGAATTAATGAAAACCTCATCTCAATCTCTAGTTCAGAAAAATTCCCAAGCACAGTGCTAAAGAAAATAGACAGCAGCAATTCTCAATGGATGAATACATTCACTACCCAAGGCACTATTCTAGGTACTTTACATGTATTAATCAGCTATTTTCACAACTCAATGAGGCAGGTACTATGGCACTGAGTGAGGGAACTGTCTCAAGGTCTCACACAGATAGGAGGGTTTTGAACGCACGCTTACACTCTTAACCATTATGCTAGAGCTCCCTAAGCATCAAAATGATTTCTGACACAATTAGCCTTGTATTGCAATATTTGATGATGCAGTTTATCAAATGTATGGTTTCAAAGACACTGCCTACAGGAACAATTAGGACAGAAAATACATTTTCAGGCTGATACATTTCTAAGCTTTTTCTGCACGGCTACCTAGAACAACTTATATTGCTGAACCTTCAATCAACAGCCATCACATTCAAAAAAAGGACAGGATTGCAAATCTCAAAAACAATTTAGATTATACTCACGCCAATTATATTTGGATGACTTAGCTCCTGTAATAATTTAATCTCTCTTAAGGCTGTTCTATTTATACCTACATAAAGACAAAGCAACGGAATGGTTAGTCAGAAAAACAAGGGTTACTTTGATAACGCTTTAATCTTAAAACAGCTTAACATAAGGACTATGATAGATGGTGAAAAATTTACTTTATCTGTAGCATGTCAGATCTGAAAATTGCTGGAATAAGAACATGTATAAAAGCATAACATATAGGTAGGTGACAAGTCAATAGCTTCCCTCTTCTTGCCCTACAAATATTAGGGACAGATTATCCGTGCTAAAAGAAAACTAGTAGATGGCATCTTTTTTAATCAAAGGACTGTTGCTATTCGCTACCATCAAGTCGGCTCTGACTCATGGTGACCCCATGTACAAAAGAATGAAATGCTGCCCAGACAATATTCTATTGTCATCCATACGGTTTTCACTGGCTAATTTTTAGAAGTAGATTTCCAGGCCTTTCTTCCTAGTCTGTCTTGGCCTGGAAGCTCCACTGAAACCATGGGTGAACCTGGTGGCATCCGAAATACTGAAATAACTGACAGAGGTGGAATACAAATGACAGACCTGGTGCTAGCATGTTACATGGATGATGGGTCTTCTTTATAGAACTATTTTTCTTTTTTATAGTGGTGAAATATATGTAACAAAATATTTCAACCATTTTTACATTCAATCACGTTTATCATTCAGTGACACCAATTACACTCACCATGCTGTACAATAATCACAAGTGTCAGTTTCCAAATTTTTCATCACCCCTAGCGAAAACTCTGTACCCCTCAAACAGTACATTCCCCACCTCTACCATTTCTTCCTTCCCACCACCCTGGTAACCACTAATAAACTTTGGTCTCTATACATTTGCCTATTCTGGACATTCGTATTAGTGGGATCACACAATATTTGTTCTTTTGTGTCTGACTTATTTCACTGAGAAATATTTCATTGTATGTATGTACCACATTTTATTTATCCATTCATCTGTTGATGGACACTTGGGTTGTTTCCACCTTCTGGCTATTGTGAATAATGCTGCAACAAACACTGGTGTACAGATACCTGTTCGAGTTCCTGTTTTCAATTATTTTGGGTATATACCGAGGAATGGAATTGCTGGGCTTGAGAAACCATTAAACTGTTTTCCACATCGTCTGCATCATTTTACATTCCCACTAGCAATATACAAGGTTCCAATTTCTCCACATCATCGCCAACACTTGCTATTTTCTGATAATAGGCATGCTAGCGTGGGTGAAGTGGCAATTCACTGTGGTTTTGATTTGCATTTCCCTAATGACTAATGGCATTTTGACATCTTTTCATGTGCTTATTGGCCATATGTGTCTCTTTGAGGAAATGTCTATTCAAGTCCTTTAACCATTTTAAGATTGGGTCGTTTGTGTTTTTATTGCTGAATTGGAACTATTTTTTAAAATAATTTTATTTTGTTGTTATTGAGAATATACACAGCAAAACATACACCAATTCAATAGTTTCTACATGTACGATTTAAACACACTGATTACATTCTTTGAGTTGTGTAACAGTTCTCATCCTCCTTTTCTGAATTGTTCCTTCTCCATTAACATGAATTCACTGCCCCCTAAGGTTCCTATCTAATCTTTTGAGTTGCTGTTGTCAGTATGATCTCATACAGACAGTTCTTAAAGAGCATCATGCTTAAGGCAGACATTTTTTACTAGTTAAGCTAAACTACTGTCTGGTTTTAAGATGACTTCAGGGGTATTTTTGGTTTAAGATTTAAAGATTATCTCAGGGCAATAGTTTCAGGGGTTCATCCAACCCTCATGGCTCTAAGAAGTCTGGAGTCCATGAGAATTTGAAATTCTGTTCTGCATTTTTCCCCTTTTCATCAGGATTCTTCTATAGAATCTTTGATCAAAATGTTCAATAATGGTAGCTGGCCACCATCCAGTTCTGGTCTCATGGCAAAGAAGGCAGTTGTTCACGGAGTCAATTAGCCACACATTCCATAGCCTCCTTTTCCTGACTCTCCTTCCTCTGTTGTTCCAGCTGAACAGAGACTAACTGTTGTGCTTTGGATGGCCCCTTGCAAGCCTTTAAGACCCCAGGCACCGTGCACTGAACTAGGAGGTAAAACAGAAGCGCTAAACAAACTACTAGCCCAATTAACTGGGATGTCCCATGAAACCATGACCCTAAACTTCCAAACCAAGAAACCAAATTCCATGAGGTTTTTGGCTGGACATAATCAGCCTCAGCAGCCTTTTTTTTTTGGTCATTGCTATAAATATATCTATCACTCTATCACGCAACTTTTTACAGGTGCACAACTTATTGACAATCATTGGCTGTGTAACCCTATCCTTAATCAAAAAGATATTTCCATCACTGTTAAACATCTCCCTTTTTTCCCCTCCCTCCCACCCCTGGTAAGCATTAATAAACTTTGTTCTATATATTTGTCTTATATATAAGTGAGGTCATATAATATTTGTCTTTTTGTGATTGACTTATTTCACTCAGCGTAATGTCTTCCAGCTCCATATTGTAGAGTGTATCAAGACTTTATTTCTCCTCCCAGCTGAGTAGAATTCCATTGTATGTATGTACCACATTTCGTTTATCCATTCACCTGCTGATGGGCACTTAGGTTGTTTCCATCTTTTGGCTACTGTGAATACTGCTGCAGTGAACAATGGTGTACAAGTCTCTTTCTGAGTCTCTGCTTTCACGTCTTTTGGGATAGAACTACTTCTTGATGGTTAAATAGGACTTAAGGAGTCCTGGTGGCACAGTGGTTAAGCGCGTGGCTGCTAACCAAATGGTCAGCGGTTCAAACTCATCAGCCAGTTCAATGGAATAAAGTTGTGGCAGTCTGCTTCTGTAAAGATTACGACCTTGGAAATCCTCTGGGGCAGTTCTACTCTGTCCTATAGGGTCGCTATAAGTCGGAATCGACCCAAGGGCAACGAGGTTGGTTTTGGTTAAACAGGACTTAGCATCCTAGCAAACAAGGCTTTGGAAGAAGAGATATCAAGAAATCTTTTTCCTCATACTCTTATCTATTTCATAGTGGGCTTTATGTATTTCCATGAAGGTGTATCCTGAATTTTCAAAGTAATTAGAAGCTAAGAAATAGACGAAACAATAGCTTGTAATGCCTAAAACAGTAATGAAGACACAGAGGAAGACAAATCACTAAGAATCTTGCTGCCTTCCTTTTACTTAGGTGATCTGAATGTTCCTCTGAATATCTAAATGGTAGAAGTCACCAAATATCCTTTCTTTATCTTTAGCCTATCCTTGCTCTTCTGAGATCCTGCAGTAACTTTACCCAGAATCCTTGCTAATTCTAATTAATACTGTGTTCATTTTCTCAGTGAAAATGGAAATATTTTCTGTTCTGCCAGATTACATGAAATACTTACCATCTTTAGCTTCTGATCTATGTCCAAGTTTGATCTGGTAGGGGGAAAAAAAGCAAACACATTAAAAATGTGTTTAATATTACTTAGACTAAATGCATAATATGCAAATACTTCAAAAACTCAGCCACAGCAAAAACACGTAGAACTCACATGTAGCCAGTATAAACAGGCAAGAAGGGAGTGGGAATTATGAATCAAAAGGCAAAAATAATAAGAGAATATCAAGTGCCTACCATTCCTTGCTGCTTAAGTTTTTGAATTATACATTCAGACAACAGAATTAAGAAAATAAAGGTCTCCTTTATCTTTACAAAGTTAACAGTGAACAAAATACTCAAGGATACACTGGTTAACATTCTTTAGAAATTCATTTCAAGCTAGCCTACTCTGGAGGAAAGATGTAACAAATAAACAAAAAAATGCTGTAGTGTTAGTAATGTGACCAATATTCTCACAGGGATATTTTCTAAAAAGCAAAATTACAAATTTCAATGGATATAGAAAATGGTTAAACTGTTGTTACTGTGAATAAGTGTAAGAAATCACACTAATAAGGTTAACTCTCACACAAAACAGATTACCAGGTTAAACAACATTCTCTTATTCACTTCTCATGGACCATCACTAATCAGTAATACAATTAAAAAAAAAAAAGTTACTTTTGGAAGAAAACAGCTATTCTATCTTAAAAAAAAACGTCCCACCTATATACTACGAACAGGACATTTTATTAAAAAGTAGGCCACTTATTACAGTATCAAAAAACATAGGGCATTTAAAAATAAATCTAACAAGAAATATACAAATCTCTCCAAGAATAAAATTATAAAACTCTATTAAAACATGCTTAAAAGCAAGAGACAAAATAAACAGAAATACCCTGTTCACGGATAGGAAGACTCATTACCATAAATATGTCAAACATGGCAATTCTCTTTAAATTCAAGGCAACTAAATTTAAAGTGAAACAGCATTTTCATGGACATTGACAAATTGATCCTAAAATTTACATGGAAAAGTAAGGGGCTAAGAAAGTGTACAATTTTTTAAATCACTATATTTTCCAAACATAATAAAAAATAGATTAGTTTTATGAAGTCCCATACTTCATCACAGACTCAACTATTGCCAATATTTTACAACACGTACTTCATTCATTCATCTTCCTCCTTTTTTGGCTAAAGTATTTTAAAGCAAATCCCAAATTTCATGTCCTTTCACCCCTACCTACTTAAGTGAGCATCTCTAAAACATGTGGACATTTTCTTACATAGCAATAGTGTAATTTTCACACCTAACAAAGTTAACTATAATGCCATGGTAGTATCGAATACCTAGTTCATATTCAATTTTTCCTCATTGTTTCAAATTACCCAGTTGGCCAGAGTAGCCAAGAAACAATTTGGAAACAGAAAAACAAGGCATGTGGGACTTGCCAGATTTCAAGTCATTATAAAGCAATGTCATTAAAGACACTGTCATATTTTAACAAGAATGGAAAAAAAAAAAAATGAACTGATGGAACAGAACAGTGTGCCCAGAAATTGACTGAAGTATATACTGGAACTTGAGTCATTACAAAATGGCAACTCACCAGGAAAAAGACAGACTATCAATAGTGTTGGAGTAACTGGGTGGCTGTATGGAAAAAAAAAATAGTGGATTCTCCATAACAAACAACACAGAAAAATTAATTTCTCGGGGAATTAAAACCTAAATGTAAAAATACTTCCAAATTTTTAGAAGAAAATGTAGGAATTCTTTATAACCTGGAGTAAGGAAGCACACAAAGAGCAAACCCACAAAGGCAAAAAATAGATAAATTCAACTATATTAAAATTTAAAAATTTCTGTGCCTTAAAAGATACCATAAATACCATAAAGACTGGGAGAAAGTATGTGCAACGCATACTTCTGTCAAAGGATCAATATCCAGAACATATAAGAATTCCAATACTGTATTTCACATAAAAAGTGCACGTTACATGGTTTTTGCCAACTGCACAACCCCCTCACGTATTATGTTCCTAGGTGCACTGTGCGCATTATATGCGTGGGCACCTTATTTACATGAGCACATTATTTGTGAAAAATATGGTAAATCAGCTGGGAGAAAAAAGGTAAGCAATCCAACAGAAAAACAGGTAGGAGCAAGTCCCAAAAGCCAATAAACCTAAGAAAAGATGACCAACCTGACTGGTAATTAGGGAAATGTTAATTAAAACAACAAGCATATACTACTTTTGCTTTATCTAATTGACAAATATTTTAAAATTCTGACAATACAAATGATGGGGACAACGTGGAAGATAAATTGTAGAGCAATTTGAGACTATCTGATAAAGTTGATGCTGTGCCTATCTTACGCGGCAACAAGTCATTATTGGTTTCCATTATACACAGATTCCCTAAAGAAACTCACACATGTACACAAGATGACTCACAGAAGACTGTCCATAAAAGGACTGTATTAGGGGACAAAACTAAAAAACAGCCTAAATGTCAAAAAGAGACTGCACAGAAAAATTTTAGTGTAATCATACAATGGAATCTAATAACCAATCAGCATGAACAAACCAGAGCTATGTGTATCAATATGCAGGACTTCAGAAAAACAAGTTGCAAAGGAATATACATTACATATATAAAGTTTACGAGCATACAATAGTATATATTGTTTTGAGATACACTGCAATATATTTCAGACAAATACTGAAAACCAGGAAATGATGTAACAGGCCATCAACAGGGAACCGGTTAAATTTGGAAATAAATTCAATGTGATCTTTTAAAAGAATGAGATAAATATAATACTTAAAAGGATAAGATACAATACGTGAATGATTACAGAATAACTTATTTAGTGATTTCCTTTTTGGCAAAATTAATTAAACATCCATTTAATTAATGTTAAATGTTAATGTGGGATGTAATGTGGGATGGGGGAAAAAACTGAAGACTATACCTCAAATTGATGAAATATTACCTTATGTTTCAGAGCTGAATAGGAGAGAATTAACTTCTAAATTACACATTTCTGTATTGTTAGCCAAAAACTGCAATAAACTACATTTGGGCATGGGTAAAATGGAAATATATGGGTGTTGGGAGGTGTAAGGATAAATCGATCTTCACATACCAACTGCAATTGTCATGTGGAAATTTCAGAAACCCACTACTCTGTTACCAACTATGAGGATACAACAAATCCTCACTTTCCACTTCCTTGTTCAGTTCTGATATCAGCCATGCATGTGGCACTTCTTTCGCTGACTCTAGCCACCAGGAGCTACGTCAGATTTCAAAAGTTAAAAGGACACTATCCTTCAGACTGCCAAATAGGCAGACATTAGATGAAAGCTTGGGAGTCCACACCATACCATTACTTCTTACTTGTTGGGCACAAACTAGGGGTTTTCCCACTACCCCTTCAGAGAGCCAGCTGCAAGCTCAGGGGACTCCTCTGGGTTCCCTCACTTTTACCTGCTGGTTCCCATTACTCCTTAGGTTTGAAAATTCACCGGAACAAGTCACAAAAAGTACTATACTTACAATTACAGATTTATTGTTAAAAAATGATATAAATCAGGATCAGCATAAAGAAGAGATGCACAGGGCAGGGGCCAAAGGGGGTTACCAACATGAAGCTTCCATGTCCCAAAACACATGCCACCCTCCCACGTATATCAATGTCTTTCACCAACCAGGAAGCTCTCGGAATTTCTGTGTCCAGAGCCTTTACTGGCTTCATTGCATAGTCATGATTGGGGCCTCACTGAATATACATGATTGATTAAATCATATCCCTTTCCCTCCCTCCCTGAGGTTAGGTGACCAGGTGGTGCTTGTGGCCTGGCCAGCTCCCCACTCATTTGTACAAACCCTCAACTGCTGTCTAGAGGTTTTAGATAATAAAGGCATCTTGATTACTCAAGAAATTCCGAGGGTTATCTCTCAGGAACCAAAGACAATGGCCAAATTGAGTTCTTTGTCTCACAGGACAGGAAGGTCCAAAAGCACTAGCTCCTCAATTTTCATAGTGGGAAGTACAGATAACGTCTAAAATTGAAAAGGGGGGAAAAAAAGTTCAAGAAATAATAATATATATTATTTAAAGAAATGGTAGTAATACCAGAGGACATAGTTAAATGACTCTGAAATGTTTGCTCTGATGAATAAAAACCAGGGTAGAGAGGAGTCAGGCAGGTTAAAAGCCTGTTGTATTAACTGATTTTTAAAACCATAAACATGTATTATTTGAAATAAAACTGAAAATAAGACTCCACTGAGTCACCGTCAAGGGGGAAAAGTCTATCACAGAGAAACAGATTCCAAGTCCCAATCTTTATTAAAAGCAAGCAAACAAAAAAAGCCAAGCTAGCAGGACTTTCAGACAACTATAGAATTCAATATGCCAAGAATATGAGTAGGTTATACTAGTCAGTCAGGTCAATACATTTTTTTGTTTTTGTGTTTTTTACAAATGTGCCAGTCACAGTCCTATGTATAATATAAGTGGAAGAAAATAGACAATAAACTCAGAGACAAGAGGATTTTAGATTTTCATAAATGGCATGAAGATAACACAGGGAAATATGGCAAAGAATGATAGGGAAGGAGGGGGGCACACCTATTTTAGCTAGACTGGACAGGAAAGGCCTCTATGTGGAGGAGCCATTTGAGTAAGACTTGAAAGTAAGAAGGGATCAGCTATGCTAAGTTCTAAAGGAAGAATATACCAACCAGAAGACAGAGAAAATGCAATGATCCTTGGATGGGAATGAATTTAATGTGTTAAAGGGACAGAAATGTCAGTGTGGTAGAATACAGTGAACCGGGGTAGAATCAAAAAGATTAAGTTTGAAAAGATCAGGAGAGTTAACATGTTTTGCAAAGGAGTGGCGATTATTAAGTGTTGAGTCACAGAATGTAAGCTGAATATGACTTAAGTTTCTTGAAAGAACGTGAGTTAGGAAAAAAGCTGCATAAATCTGTTAAATATAATGCAATACACACTATTGCTAATGCTAGTGAAAGCCTTTCATGATAAATCTGTTAGCAGAAAATACAGAGACCAGATGGGGAATACTTGTCCTTTATCAAACATCCAAGTTTATGCAGCAAACATAACATACAGCTTCTTCTTCATTTCAATTTCAATTAACGGAACAACAAACTGGTTCAACCCCAGAGTTCCATCTTGTGAAACAAGACACTAATTCTATCGTCTTTGAAAATGACATAACTTATTAGCAGAGACCAAGAGTACTAAAACGATCATCCATCAACTCACAGACATCTTCAAAAAGACTTGAGGGAAAACGACCCAAAGTGTAACTCACTTTTTTAATGGCGACAATCTGATTGGTGTTCTTGTCTCTGGCCTTGTAAACTGTGGCAAACTAAACAGAAAAGCAAAAATAACATGAGTTTGTTGGAGTTTTTTTGTGTTTGCCTTTTTACTTTTTTACATTTTGGGAAGCAAAGGGCGGCCAGAAAGGTGGTGGGATACTCCACGTCCTGCTCCAGTCTGTTCTTCGGAAAGAAGGGCTCAGGGCTCACCTCTAGGGTGTAAAAAAGGATAGCAGGTGGGTCTGGGTCACCTCCATCAAGGAGAACAAGCAGCCAGGCCAGTGCACTGGCCCCCACGCGAAAACCTTCGATGGTATGAGGCGGCTCTGCGCTCTCCGCTCCGGCCCTCCCAATCCCAGCATGAGATCCTCACCTGTCCCTCTCCGAGGAAGTCCAGTTTCTCATAACGCTTTGCTCGCGACTTCACGTCCAAAGCCATTCGGCGCGTGAGGCCCGACTCCAGCCGAGAAGGAGAGGCTCCAATGACCAAAAGAATTTAAAGCTACTTCAGAGACTCCAACAGCACCTTCCGTTCACTGGGCTCCTACACTTTAGTAGCTCCGCCCTCACTTCCGGGATGGGCGGGGTGCTGCTAAGTGGATCACGGTGGGGTCCGCCCTCCGGAAGCCGCAAGAGACCCGGCTGATTGGCTTGTCTGTACCGCCCCCGCCTCGTTACGTAGTCTACACCCGGTTCCGGAAAAGGAGTGTTTCCGGTGGTGGCTGTCTGCGTCACCCTTTTGCTGTCTTAATTTGGGTCTTTTCTTCACTACTGGAGACAGGCCGGCGTTCTGATTTGGTGTTCTCAGTTCGGGATTTGGTAGGTGTGTGTGAATGTGGGAGGCTTGTCCTTTTCCTTGATCATCGCTTTGTATCTAGTTCTTGATCAAGCACGTCCTCGCCAAGGTTGCTATGGACGCCAAGCTCCGCGATCTCAGGTCACTTAACCGAGTCCCGTATTCTTAAGGGCTGGTCAAGAGGCATTCTTAGCCCAGTTCGTTTATAAAGCAGGCCTAAAAACTCAACTCCATTCAAACGTGCTGTGGTCCTCAATTCTCTGCCCCATAAAATGGAAATCGTAATAGACTACAGCATAGGATGGCGAGAATTAAATGAACCATGCAGAAAGCTTAGACATTTAAGTGCTCTGTTAGCTGTGATCAGTACTCAGCTTCTAGATTCTCATCAATTTTCATATAAACCAACAAAATAAACTCAACACATTAATTCATTGAAATAATATGTAATTGAGTGCTTGCTATGTGCCAGGCACTGGTGTGGACGTTGAGAAATCAGCAAGGAACAAACCAGACTAAAATCCCTGCATTGCAGTGGGAGAAGCAGATAAGTAAAATATGTAAAGACACATAGTGATAAGTGCTATAGAGATAATAAAGGGAGTGGTATTTCAAATAGTGTGATTGAGGAAAGACATCACTGAAAAGCCACTGGAGGATTTTGAGTAGATAAGTGTTATGATCTGACTTGTTTTAAAAGGTTTACTCTGGTTGTTGTGAGAGACTAGATTTAGAGGGGCAAGGAACGAAGAAGGTGTGTTAGAGAATTTCAAATTCTCATGGAATCCAGACTTTCTGGGCCACTGAGGCTGGGTGAACCCTTTGAAACTATTGTCTTGAGATAACCTTTAAACCTTAAATCATAATCCCCTGAAGTTTTCTTCAAACCAAACAGCAGTTAGCCTACTTAGTAAAGAATGTCTGCCTTTAGCATTGTGCTCTTTTAAAGAACTCTCTCTGTGGGATCAGATTGACAACAGCAACTCAGAAGGTTAAATAGGAGGCTTAGGGAGCAGTGACTTCATGTCAATGGGGGGAGGAACAATTTGGAAAAGGAGGGTGAGAATGGTTGCACAACTTGAAGAATGTAGTCATTGCCACTGAATTGTAGATGTAGAAATTGTTGAATTGGTGTATTGCTGTGTATAGTTTGAACAATAAAAAAAAAGTATTAATTTTAAAAAGGTCTGTTAGAGATGGCTGGTTTGGTTTTTAGCTAGTAAGATTTATAGACAGACTGGATATTGTTTGTAGGGGAAAAAATTGATTTGAAGGTTTTGAGCTTGAGCAGCTAGAAAGATGGAAGTGTTTCCTCCCCTTTCTTTGCATTTGATGTTTGTAGGAGTTAATCTAGATTTTCAGATGTGTTGAAGAAGGCTGCAGAATTACCAAGGGTAATCTTGTAGTCAAGGTAGTATAGTGTAGAGGCTTACTCTGAAACCAGACTGATTGCAATTTGAATACTGTCCTCACCAGTATTCAATCGCTAGATGTATGACTTGGGCAAATTACTAAACCTTTCCGTGCCTAGTTTTCTTCTCTGTAGTAGGACTGGCTCATAGAGTTGCTGCAAGACTTAAATGAGTTCACACTTATAAAAGCCCTTAGTATGTGACAGCTGAGTGCTCAGTTTATTTTGGCCATTACTGTTACTGGTCACCTTTCAGCCCTTTGTCACTACTTGGGTCTTTAGTTAGCTGATGCAGTCAGGCATAATTCTCATATGACAGAAGACATACCGACTTTAACACTGTTAACTCTCTTACTTATGGCAAGTTATACCAATGATGCATGATGTCACATGGCTAAGTCAAAGTTCCTTCTGACAGACATCACTGTAACAGTAATCTAACTTGTAGCAGAAATAAGCTAAATAATGAGCTAAATTTGATAGTGCACTTGTGAGGCTTGAGCAGCATTGTACCATGCTGCTAAATAAATCCCTATTTTGGGACATTTTCGATAGGATAAGAAAGGCAGCGTTTAGATGATATTCTGGGGTAATGTGGTCATTATATATAAAAATACTATTCAGCATTTGTATATCATTTTGCAGTTTACAAAGCACTTTCACACGTTCTGTAGTAGCCAGCTTCCAAGATGGCCTCTGGTAACCTTTGCCTTCTGGTATTGATGCATGCGTGTAGTCTTCTCCCACAGCAAAACAGGCTGCTCTGTGTGACCAGTGGAATGTGGCAGAAGTGACTTTGTGTGACTTTGGAGGCTGGGTCATAAAAGGCATTGCTGCTTCTACCTTGCATGCTTGGATCATTTGCTCTGGGGGAAGCTAGCCACCATATCATGAATTCACTCAGTCCTGTGGAGAGGCCTATATGGAGACGAACTGATGCTTCCTGCCAACAGCCAGCACCAACTTGCCAGCCATATGACTGAGCCACCTTGGGCGTTTATCGTCTAGCCCCAGTCAAGCCTTCATATGACTGCAGCCCCTTGTGGCATCTGATTGCAACCTCATGAGACACTAAAATAGAACTGTCCAGCCAAACTGCTCTTGTATTTCTCTGGGTCAGAAGTATGCTAGGAATTGAATTGTGTCCCACCCAAATATATGTTGAAATCCTAACCACTGTATCTGTAGATAAGACCTTGTTTGGAAATGGGCTTGTTAAATGGGGTCATGCCAATATAGGGTGGATCCTAAACCTAATCACTTCCGAGTTATAAAAAGACCAGAATAGAACACACAGACACACACAGGGAAGACAAACACCAAGGAATGCTATTGCTGGTAGACACCAGAAATTGAGAGCTCAGAGAAGGAATTGACACAGCTGAGATCCTGATTTGGACTTTTAGCTTCCAGAACTGTGAGAAAATAAAATTCTGTTCTTTAAAGCCACCCATCTGTGGTATTTGTGTTACAGCAGCACTTGGTAACCAAGACAGTGATTATTATTGTTTTAAGTTCACTCACTTTCTATCTACAGGATCAAATACTAGATCTCAAAAAACAAAAAAATGGTCCTGGGCTTCCTTTTACTGAAATTAAAAAGCTAAGGGGTATGAAATAAAATTATAAGTTTTGCTTTATGAAAACAGAGAGGTCTCTTGCCCATGACACTAAAGGTTATCTTATTAAATGTTAAAAACCTATTTGTTGTATAATTATAGATATATATAATATATATATCTTAAAACTTATAGTTATGCCTTGAACTGTAACTTTTAGAAGCAGCTTGTCGAGTTTCACATAACTGTATTTAGGTGATCAGGCTCACTGAAACACTTGAAAATTATTCTTTCAGAAAGCATGGAAGATTAATGAACATGTCCTGTTTCCAAGACTCCAGAAGTCTTACAACTGTGGCTCACTGATCTTGTGATTGTCTTAGTAAGGTTCCTATTTAAGCTTTGATAATGTTTGAGCACATACTGTTCTCTTATAAGATTTATGTATTCTGATGTAATCTTCAACTAATCAAAATTTTTGTTCAGAGTTCCTTATGAAATGATACATAAGTACCCTGAAAATCTTAGAGCACTGACTTACTCAGTAATGACATGCTGCCCACCTTTAAAGTTGTCGATTAAACCTGCGTAGCAGTCTGTTAATGGAGTTCTGAGTTATTTATGTTTGACAGAAGAAAATAATGCTAGTTAGAAAAAAATGTTTTTCCAAAACATTAAATAATAAAAAAAAAGGAATTATGAACCATGTATTTTTCATGAGTCACCATAACAATTTATATATCAACACATTGCAAGCATCAAATCCTTACCTAATATTTGAGTTGGGCAACATTTACAAGTGGGCCACAATACAGAATTTACTCCAGTGGCAGTTCAACGCTGGCATAGTACAGGAAAGTATAGATTAACCCACAGAATACAGAAATGTATTCAACAACAATTCTACTTCGTCTGCTGCTCATGAGCTACCCTTACTATTGACTTCTTTAAGGCATATTCTAAAAATTATCAAATGTATGGAAGAAAATTTATTTAGCTTTTTGAGGCTTTACTTTCACAGTACATACCCTTGGCACAGGAAGACCTTATTAAATTTTCACAGATTGCCTTAAATAAGAAATATTTAGGTTGATTTTATGAGGCTTTCAGAAAAGTTCAAGAAAGTTAATGGTTATCAGGATTTGCATACATGATCACATCGAGACAGTAAAATAAACCAAAGACCGAGACTTGTTAACAGCCCTCAAAACATAATAAATTAGAATTTCTAGTCAAACATTTATTCCTATGCTGTATTCATATTGGACTTGTGATTTATTTTCCATTTTACACTCTTTGACATTTCTTCTGAACATAGGTTACAAATAATCTTTTGTGTTAGTTCCAGTCTCAATACCAAAAAGTCACCTGTTTTACCTTGGCTATGTTCTTATCCTTTAGAGTATGATACACTTATTAAGTTAGCTATATTCCAGTAACTTCGTGAATGAAAAATGTTACAGGATTAAAAACAATATAATGGAGTATTATTTCACTGATCCTCATCCAATTTCAGGAAGATTACTTCCCTAAAGCAGCAATCTTGCCTGATAAATTCTTTCCATCTCTAAACAGAAACCAGAAGAAATGTGAAATTATAGGAAACATCTGAAAGTTTACTAGACATTGTGTGCTTTTAATAGTTCAACACTGGTAATACTTGATAATCAAGAGGAAATTAATAGGCTAACATTTAAAAATGTATACTTTAATAAGTATAAAGTACATAAATGACTGGGTAAGCTTGTGGAGAAGCTGACCCAGATACATAAATTAGGATATATAAGTGTCCATCTAAATTTTCTACCTTTTGT